CAGTATTTCACTGTCCTGCACAAAACAAAGTTCCAGTTTTTTGTAAAGGTTTCAGACTGGCTGAAAATACTGCCTGTGCTAACATTGCAACAGATTGTGTTTTAACACTGACAAAAATATGGGTGATCTTTGTTCAGGCAGTCACCGAATAGGCCGCGCTCATCCTTGTAAGTTTAACTTGTCCATATCCACAACTTTGCTTGTTGAGACTGAAGCAAAAGGATTATTACAGCACTTTTCCAAAAGCTGTCTTTAGCTTTAAGTTTCTACAAGTGGCAAAGCTTGGCTGTTGTGGGTGCTTTTTTTGCTTGCTGGGGCATACAAATAATTTCCCTTATTACTGCTCTGTTTTGAATGCAGTCCCTTGGTGCAGTGCCTTTATGTGGATTTGAAGCAGTCTTTCCCTTTGATCTGCCCAGGGATTATTAATTCACTGTTGTAATTAACGGAGGCTTTGTCTTTCTCTTGCAGTCTTTATCAAAAGATCTCAGAGCCTTTTGTAAATGTTAAGCGATTTGAAATGCGGCAGAGGCTGGTGAGTTGCATGTGTGGTTCATCCCTAGAACAGAGACAAAGAGTCTCACTGTATTTCCACACACTGTGCTTGGGGACTGTTTGACATGTGCCAGTACAGCAGTCTTCTTGAGAAATACCAGTTTTTGCAAAACTATCTTTTTTTTTTTTAATGTTGGCTGCTCCATTAGGAGGAATTATCTGGTGCGTACATCCCTCTGGAGGAGGGAAGGAGTGTTGTGACACTGGTCTGCATAGGGTACCAATGGAGTTTTATATTGACTTTCCAGTTTTCAGAACTCTCAGGATATGAGATGCAGGCGAACAAGTGGCTGGTTGAAAAAGTACCCCTGGTCCTGGTTCTATCTCTGTGAAGAGCAGTAAGACTCTGGGGGCATGAGAAGAGCCTTCTGTGCAGTGCTGGTTGTACAATCTGTGCACGTTTCCCTTCTGCATGCTGCTTGTACCAAAGAGGATGACAGTTACTTGAATAAGTCGTGAGTAGTGGAGCCAAGAGTAACAAAGCAGCACAATAGCTTCAAAGTTAGGGTTTAATCACGAGATGAAAGTATAAAATGTAAAAGCTGTGGTCCAGCAGTACTGAGGAGAGAGCTCAGCATTGGTTGAGTTAGAAGGAAAGCAGTGTACCCGGAGCCCTGTGATGGTTCTGTGGCAGCTGCTGCTTTCTGTGGGGGAGACTGAACCCTGCAGTCAGAAATAACCAGGGCTAAAATTAAGTAGCATTTGCTTTTGTAAGAGGCTGAAGCTTGTGGATGGCTTTTGAATAGCAAAGCAGAGACCAGTAAAAACTTAAGAGGTGAACTGCACTATGTTGTTTATATATATATATATAAGACTAGAATTATTAAGTTGAAGGAAAAAAGGATGAAATTGTTGCCATGTTTGCTCCTTCTCAAAAAGAAGAAAGCATAGACTTCTTTCAATGCTCCTGCTGACTTTAAAGGTCATTTCTCTGCTGTGAGAGACGCTTGACAGCCGTGGTGGTGCTTCCAGCATCCTGCAGCTGATTGCTGCTGTTCTGTGCAGTTTGCATTTAATCCCTTGCACCAACACAGCCTGCCTGGCTTACAGATGTAGTGCTGTTTTGCATGTATGTGTGCAGTCTGGTTGTTATATTAATTTTTTGGAAAGGCCAGTGCAGCTCCTGCCGTGACAAAAATTGTGTTGACTGCTGGTACTGCCAGGGACTGTTAAAACGTCAGAGAGCTGCCAGGAAGCCCTTGCTGCTTTCCAGGGGACTGGTGGAGAAGTGACCTTTTTCTTTTGAATTTGAATTTCTGGATGAGGGAGATACTAGGGGCTTTGGCTGAACGCCTTGGCCACTTGCCCATCCATCACTGCATTTGGACTTTGCTAGAGCTGGCTGCCAAGGGCCCAAAGGACTTGGGATGCCTAGCCTGCTAGTTGAGAATCAGCTCAGAGAGGGGGATCCCAAGCCAGACATCTGGGAGGAATCCCAGCTAGTTCTGCCAAAGCTCTTTCCAAGGCACTGTCTTTCTGGACTTGTATTTACACCTGGGTTGCCCTGTGCAGGTTCACAGCTTGGTCGTTAGACTGTCAGCCAGTGTTACCTTAAGGCTGTAAACATTTAGCAGAGCCTGTGCTGGGAGTCAAAGCAGGGGCACACTGTCTGTGAGCAGGAGACTATTTCCTGGGTGCTAGGGCAGCTCGCAGGAGATCTGCTGGCATGACTGAGTGATGTCTGCCGTGGCATGCTGTGCTGGTGGAGCAAACAGACCAGCTGCTGGAACCAGTCTGGGCTAAGCAGTCACAGTGTCTGTCTGTGCTCCATCTCTTGCCTCTGCTGTTGCCCCCTAATGCAGGTTTCCTGACTGCACTGTAAAATGGAATTATTGGGCTTTAGAGAAAGATGTTTGATGCAGATCTCACTGATGGAGCAGACAAAGAATTACTCCAGTGCAGCAGGAGAAAACATTTCTTGCAGGAAAGGACAGAGGAAAAGAAGAGGGTCTGTGAATTGGCAGGTGGATAGCAGGCAAGAAGCAGCAGCAGTACCCCATGTGGGGCTTAGTGTGGCTGATGTGCAAGTCCAACTCTGATTTACCACTAAAATGTGCTCTTGCATGGGCAACTCCTTTCTTTACTGTAAGTATAAACCTTACACTGAAAATACTGTTTCTGGTAAGTTGCAGAGGCTAGCATTTGCCAATCTGGCCACTGGAAACTCTTAGCAGAGAAAGTGCCGAAAATGCTGTCTGTGAAGGACTGTTAGTGTCCTTGCCCTGGGCAGCCAGCAGCCAGCCACCCCAGGCGCTTGGCCATCTGCAGAAGTGACAGGGACAGAGACAGGGAGGATTCCTTGCTGGGAGCTAGTCTCAGGGTGCCTGTTCCCTTCTTCTGGCGCCTGCCTCCACCAGACAGCTGAAAGCTATCTGAGTGCCTGCTCTGATATCATTGGGCCCAAATTAACGAGGCGTTGGCAGCCTCGAGGCGTCAGCCTCTCGTCCAGTTGCTGCTGCCCCTTCAGCACTCAGCCCATCCGTGCCATTTGTCTGCGGATGCGTGTGACAGACCTCGGGGTGCTGGAAGGGGCAACATGGCAGGACTTCTGTGTAAGCGGCGCAAAAAAGGAGGTATGTGAGGTTACATTTCCAGCAGGAATCTTTTCCTAAGCTAAGGAGGTGGCATACAGGCTCCCTGTAACGCAGGCTCTCTGGGCAGCAGGATTTGGGAGGCTTGCTACTGATGGAGCAGGGGAGGATGCCCTGGTCCTATTGGGGCAGAGCCTCGCTGGGTTTGAAGGCAAGTCCGAGGGTTTTATGTGGCTCTCCATGTCATGAGGGACTGTTGAGGGTAGGGGCTTAATACACACATCCGTATTGATGTTTTTTTTTGCTGTTATTGTTGAAGAACGAGATTTGTGTTAAGAAGGGTTCTTCTTGATATTAAAAAAAAATGAGCAAGTATAACATAATGGAACTTTTGAGCATAAAAACAGTTCAGCTGCGTTTAAAATTTTTATGTCTCGAGGTGTATGCAGTAATTTGTTTCTGTAGCACATAGCATGCATTCCTGGCCCTGAGAAGCTTAGGAAATCTCTACTGCATTTGTAGAATGCTAGGTAAACCAGTACCCTGACCTTACTGAACAGTTGATGTTCACAGATAGAAGAAAAGCTGTAAGAATCATAAGAAAGATATATCTAGAAAGAAGTGTGATTTTAAGTGGCACGTGGGCATTTGTAGTTAAAAGAAGGCTTTAAAGATATTCACCTCTGGTAGCCAGTTTCCACATAATTTTTCTTATGTTTTCTTGTGGCTGTATTCCTGTTGGCAGGTCCTATAGGAGCTGCTTGAGGGAAGAAGCTGGAGTTGGGAACATGCAAACAGGGCAGGGTAGGGCATGCTTTGAAAGCTCTTTGACCTGATGACAGAGGCTGCTTAGCTCCCTGACCTTTGGAGAGCTTTCCCAAACTAAGAATGAATGCATGAAAGGGGCAATTAAGTGTTTATTTAACAATGGCGTTTAATCAGGTGATTAAATCTCAGCCTGAAGATGCTGTGTTCAGTTTGCAGTTGTGAACTTTACTCTGCTCCCCTTGCAAAAGCTGTGCAGTGTAGAGCGCAGGCCATACACAAATGCTTTTAGCCATTGCTTACACAGAACTGTCACTTAATGAATGAGTTATTGCTGTCTCTTTGTATCTCCTGTTTCAGATGCATGTTTTTTTAAAGGTTCACTGTAAGCAGTTGTTTTCTGTGTTTAAGGGGAGGTAAACCTCAGAGACCGTAGAAATACTATAGTTCTGCTAGGACTTTCCTTAGTGTTAAGTCCTATGATACTAAGCAATTGGTTTAGTTACTCCCATGTGACGTTATGTAAGGAGGTATTTTAATGTCCTTCTTAATGATGCAGGGTTCCCTACCAACTTTCCAAACTGAGAGCTGTATGTTTGGGAGCGTGAAAGATTCCAAATTTGTCTTCACCAGACCATGCTACATCTATTTTTCAGCCACTGGCAATGCAAGAATTAAACATGTTTTCATTATTTGGTAGGATCCTCTGAGGCTTTTAATGAGGCCAGTAGCAAATAGTGACTCTTGTGTTCTGCCGTTGGAAAAAGTGGTGATGAGTGGTGGTAGTGCTATCAAAAATGAATTAGATTTTACAGTTAATTGTCTGCTCTAGATTGGGCCATTCTGCAGCTCATACCCCTTCCTTCTGGAGAAAGAAGCACTCAGACATTACTTTTACTACAGAGTTGATTTTTTTCCAAAATATTTTCAGCTGGTAGACTGGTGATTCAACTCCATTTAATAAGAAGCTGTAGATGGATGTTCCTCGGATTTTATTTTCCACTGCAGCTGCAGTCCTTCATTCTGTAAAATTTGGGTTCATTTTGAAATGGATCTTCAAGATACTTGCTCTTATTATGTCTCTTCTACCTCTGCATATCTGCAAACTTTGTATTTATTTCAGTCTTTCTATTTTTCCCTTCTCCTCAGTGAGTGACCTGCAAGAAGAAGGTAAAAATGCTATCAATGCACCAATGAACCCAAGTGCTGTCGACATCCATCCAGAGGATACTCTCTTAGGTACAGTATGCTACAGACCTTGACTATGCAATTACTAATGAAGGTGGCCACTGTGACCCCATATTGATTGCTTTGCTCTTCATTACAGATTGCTCCCAATTGAAAGTGGGAGAATTGGGAACTGTTGAATGTCAGTTGTTGACTAGAAACTAGAAAGTCTAAAATGGAATTTAAAAAGCAGTGCCAGCTGTGCAGCTGTTCTTAAAGTAGGTAGTTTATAGGAAAATTGACTTGCTCGATGAATTTGCAGAGGAATTCTATTCTTCTCTGATCATCCAGAAAACAAACAGAAAGTTGCAATTTTGCAAAGAATTAAATGGAAAATAGTGCTGGGATTGTCTGCTTAAGAGTTGCTTCAGTTTCACTGGGTTAATGTCCAAGGACATCTCACTATTTTTCCTAACAGACGTCTTCCTTTGGTAAAGAAGTATCTTTACACCTATAGGTGGGGAACTGAAGGATCAATTCACAGAAAGTCTATAGCAGAAGAGTGTGCTGTGGTTCCTATGGGACCATTAAACTGCCTTGACTCAAACGTATGCGCTTTACTGTCCTTAAATGTTATGTGTTATTACTTTAGTTACTTTTGCCTATTCTAAGTGATGGTGCAGCAAAATGGGATCTGATAAGCAACAAATCAGCATTTATGATGCTGAAATCAGTAATTAAATATGATTAGGATGAAAATATGTGAAGCAAGCAATGCTTTGTAGAAAGAATATAAGTATTTAAATTCCAGTTCCCCTCCCTACCAAGTCTCTTAAACAGCATAATTTTATAGATTTTATAGATTATATTTGATTCTCAAACAAAACTTTGTGGTGAATTGTGTACCATTATGGGTCAAATCTTGTTCAGGATTTCAGTTAGAAGTTTCTGGGTGTGTAGTGGGTGCCACTTCCTTTCACCAAGACTTCTTGACTCATCCCAGGCAGCAATGGGGAAGTAAAGGAATGGGGAAAAAAAGCAACAGAAAAAGAAAAAGGTTTCTCTGTAGGTTTTTTGGAAATTTGTGGTGTGTCTGGATAGAAGGATCTTATTTTTTATTTTATTTTTTTTAATAAAGAATAGGGACACTGCAGAATACTGAACCCAAATGGCTGGGAAAAGCCTAAGGTAACACAGTTAGACAGTATAGTTTATCTGAAGCGTGAGTATTATATTTGTCATCTGAGAGTAATAAAGTCTAGCACTGTGATTAGAGTTGCTGTAAGACTATCTGTTGGTTAGGGAAGGGACCGAAATGCTGCTGTAAGAGCAAGGCACTGTAGATGGATCACTGTTGGATTTTAAAGAGTTATTCAATACAAAGTAGCACTGAGCTGACCTTTGGTCATACCAAACACCTATTCTCCTTTGTTGTCATGCAGGAAGGAATTGGGAAATCAAACAGAAGGTAGAATTCTGTATTACTTCTCAAGATAAACTTAAGGGTTCTATAGATAATTTAGTAGGCAGTGTTTGCTGTTAGCTTGAACAGATCTAACTTAGATCACAGCTGTCAGTTGACTACTAAATGAGGGGTGCAGGGAGAGGTCTACTTCTTGAAAGCATGCAGCAAAATTCAAAATATGAGATTGCACCAGGTGTTTCTTAAATATTAATATCCATATCTACAGGAGCATTTATACATGCATGTGATGTATCTGTCCACACATGCTTTTGTAAAGATAATTCTGCCACAAGTTGGTTAGTTGTTAGCCTTACTGAGCTTAAGCTGATTTTGCTTCCAGTTGTTCAGTATTGAGTCATCCATCCTAAATGTTAATCTTTACATTCTTGCCTCTTGTGGTTATTTTGCTGGCCATTGGAAAGTATTTCTCAGATCTTTCCATCTCCCAGTAATGGAAGAAATAGACTATTCACATGAAAAATGTATTTTTTGTTCCTCCACCAAACATAAGTTGAACTGATGTAAATTTGGGTCACTTTCATTTCCTAGATGTTAAGTAGTTCTTACACCCAGGGCCATGTGCATGTGACCCTTGCTATGTGCCAGGTTTCAGGGAAGCAGAATGTGGAAGCACAAACTGTCAGCCGAGGTCTCAGCAGCTGTAGTGTTATAAGCTTGCTTTTTCAAGGTCGTGCAGTTTAGGAAAGGTTTTTTAAAAAACAAATTACATATAAATTGAGGAGAGAGAGGAAAGTAACTGACTGCCCTTTTTGGTATGTTAATATTACCATGCCCCACAGAATGCAGAGGATGGTGATTTTTCTGATGTGTTCTGAGCTGGAGAAGGTCAGTGGAAACAGTCTTATTTTAGGAAGTTATTATCTTTCTGTGTCTAAAAATGCTTAACACTCTGATCACTGGATATTCCCCTGCCAGCTTGATGACTGGACACAGTCATTTCTGTATCAGCTGACAGGCCACCTCATGAGCAGTAATTGTTGCAGTATTTCAAGTGTACATTTCTTCTAACTAGTTTCCCATTTTATTTGGACAGAGGAGAATGAGGAACGCACTATGATTGATCCTAACTCAAAAGAAGATCCTAAGTTCAAAGAACTGATCAAGGTAGGATATTAGTTCTTTGTCTTTCTTAAAATCTTTAACTACTGAGCCAAAATCATTTACTGGTTGTATGCTGGTTACCAAGCATACAATTAAGAAGGAACAATTTGTTACTGAAGTGTGTCTGTGAAAACTAAAGACAGACAAGGATGGTATTAGTAAGGCTAAAAGCAGCAATGAGAGAAAAAAAAAAAGGCTGAAGGTCAGAGTGCCCATGGCAGTTATGGAGTACAGCTCTACTGCCCATTTTTATATTCTTTTGATTATTAAAGTGAGGCTCAGAACTTAAGATGGATCTACCTGCAGGTCACTGCACATAAATCTAGGTTTCTTATCTCTATGAAAACAAGGAAAGAGCCTTGGAAAGCATTAGAGAGATTTCAGACAAGGCAAAAGTCAGACCAAAATGAGCAAGCGTGTGGTAGGGAACACTGCTGTTTTTCTTGCCTGTATTCTGTTGTATTAAAAGAAGAAAAAGGGAAAGAATGCTCCCACAAATTGTTAGTTAAAGCCATTAGAATTTTTTAGCTTCTGTGTTGAGTAACCTGCTGGTCTCCAGGGCATGGACAAAGACTAACGGGTGAGTGAACTGATGGACAGCTGTGTACACTTTGAAGCCATTGTATATGCAAAGAAGAAGGCATTAAGCTAAACAGTGATTTGCTCTTCCATGAGAACTTGCGAACTAACAACCTGGTAATTCAATTGCTTACAAGTTCTTAGCCATCAGAGTTAGTTCTGATTATCTTTTATGTAATTCCTACTGTTTTGACTTGACATTTATGAAAAGAGTCATCTCTCTCCTAGATCTTCAGTTTTGCTTTCAGTAGCTTCTTGGAGCAGAGGGTTACATCCATTCTGCAGTACTGCTGCCCTGAATGTGGAAAGTGACTTTGATTCTTTTGTTTTACACAGTTCTGCCTCTTATTTTTTCCTTTTCTTGATTATCCTTGTATTTATATTTTATGTGGCAAAGAGGTAGGAAGTAGCCAATAGTTTAACCATAGGCTTGGGCAGGAGCCACAGTGTCCTGAGTGTGTGTTGTGGCTGGGGACACCTGCCCAAGATGCTGGCATGATGATAATGTGTTCCCAGCTGTGCTGTTGTGATGTATGGCTTCTTCCCTTCTGGCAGTGCTTATAGTTTCTGCCAGGTATTTGATCACAAGTGCTGGCATTTCTGAACAAATATGATATGTTTATAAGAAGTGTTTTCGCTTATGATTCCTGCTGCAATTTGTCTTTGTTAATTTTACATCATTAAAAAATACATATCTTTTTGTTGGAAACAACAATGCAGCTGTAGCTAGATGTGTCTGAAAACTTCAGATAGTGTGTCCATCTCCATACAGAGGACTGGATTGCAACACATTCATTTCAGGAAACCATGTTCGCTCTATCTACAAGCAAATGCTTCACAAAATGTCTCAGCAAACTGTTCATCTGATAAATCTTTAAAACAAGTGGAATGATCTATTATTAACATTACAAGGATGTGTTTAGGATTACAAAACCACATCAAGGGGAGTTTAGCAAGGAGTTGCCCTCAAATTTTCTTTGTTATTCTAATTTACCTGGGATGTGTTCTGTTTTTTAAATTAGGTGAATTTGCACATTCTTTTTTTTTTGTTAATTCTCAAATCCATTAATTCTTCCATAAAGTGCAGTGGCCTTGCATCACTCTTTCAAAATACACTGTGGTTTTGTTGCTAATAGAGCAGAAATACTGTAATGAATAATTCAGATGAGTAAGAGTTGTTGCAGTAAAGGAACCAAATGCACTCTGTGATGCAGGAGACTTGATAGTGAAATCATCATTGCTTTTAAATTGAAAATTTTGCTATTGAATTTAATATGAGGTGGTGAGTTTTCCCTGGATGTCGTAGTCTATCAAGGTTATACTTTTCTTTTTTGAAAGGCTGAAAACCTTCAGGAGGAGTGAAAATCAGACCTAGAGCCTGAGTGTTTCAAATGTACTGCAGAATCACACTCCAGTTCAGTACATCAGTTTGCACTTGCATGTAGTGAGGGGTAACTTACTACCAGTTAAACTGGAGCAGCTGATGCAAGGAGCAGCTTGGTTTCCTTGGGATCATCCCCCAAGGAAGGAGATGTGTCCTGTGGAATGCATACTTGACAAACGATATGGTTTAAGTAATTTATAAGCATTTGCATACCTCTCAGAGTTTTTACAGAAGCTTAGCAGAGAAACCTTTAATACAGTGTTGGTGTGAATCTGTTAAAGCAAGGAGAGGTTTGTGTTGGCAAAACCTATGTTATGCCACAGAAGAAAACACACACACACAACGATTTATTCTTTATTTTGTGTTCCTTGGTTAAGTTTTCCAGGAGCTCCAGTGCTAGACAAGAATTCGCCCCATTAAGTGCTCCACAGCAGCAGCCAATAGAAGAGGCTTTGGGCCCCACAGAGCTTGAAATCAAAGATCTCCATGGAATAACAAGGCATCAAGGAGTTGAATGGATTGGGGTTTTTATAGTGCGAAGTGGTTCTCTGTCTTTTCCCCTCTAACAGGAATGTGTCAATAGCAGAAACAGGGCTTGATGCCTTTTAAAATTTGGCAATATGACTAAGCTTCATTGGTGCCAGCCCAAATCCCTTTCAACACCATCATATGACATGCCAATGGTTTGCCATCACTGATTTTGAGTGTTTCTGTTCCCCTGTCAGCCACATGCAGTTAGGGTAGGTGGAACTTAGTGCAAAGAGGAAGCAGAGATATCTTTTGCTGACACTGCTGTGATATCTCTTTGTCTCCACAAAATATTGTTTTAATTTCTGCTAGGCCTGGTGTCATAGGAATTATATGCGTAGTGGATTAATCTGTACAAGCTTTTGTGAGCATTTGGAAGTGATTTTGGCAGAGCTGTTGGGAGAAAAGCTGTGTACTATTGTGGTAATGCAGAAACCAAAAGAAAAGAAGAAAAAAAAAAACCATCCCAATTTCTCATTTGTACTAAAGCAGATATACAGTGAATAACCTCACAGAAGGCTGCTTAATTGAGGTTGCAAAAATACATACTTCAAATCTTCTTGCACATATGAAAATCATCAGTAACTGAAATGATGCCTTAAAGTGTTGTTTGTTGTCATATCACTGTTATCATATCACAAAGAGAATATCACTGTATTCTCGTTGACAGTTTGTCAGTATGAAGTGATATGTTCTGATGTGTTCAAATAAGTTATCTCTGTGGCCAGCAGCCTTTTCTTCATCACTTCACATGTGCCCTGTGTGTAAATACAGTTTGGGGCACGGCTGAACAGATCCAAAGCTGAAAATTCAGGTCAGGGAAAGAGAGGAGTTGTGTTTTTATTTATATGTATTAATAATTTACACAAAAAGTACTTTATTTCTAGTGTCTGAAATGTGTGAGCTTTTTTTCCTTGTCACTTATTTGTCAAGTGACAAATGACCAAGGTTTCAAGTAAAACTAAATGAAACCTTGCTTCCTAAAAGCTCACTAGTCTGCTTTTAAAAAGAAGCCTTCTCCTTCCTTTCAGGCCTGGCAGTGCTTTGTGTGTAGTTTCCAAGGCCGAATATTAATTTCTGATGCTCATTTCCATTTTCAACCCTAAAGTCAGTTAAACTTCTGTACTTTTGATCTGTGCTTCCTAATTCTCCCAGAAGTCAAGGGCGAAAAGAGTCATTAAAATCAGGGTTTTCTTTTCTTGCTGTTTTGGTGAGTGGGTTTCCTGTTTTTCCATTGTGGCAGACTCATTCATGTAGTTTGCTTTGTTTTTCATGTTATTCTTTGCTGTTGGAGCAGTGGCCATGGGGTCCTTGTGCCCTTGAACTCTGCACATTAACTCTGAATGTGCCTCACTGCTGTGGGAGTAGCCAGCCTGTAGAACAAAAACACTTCACAAAGCTAGTGAAGTTTGAAGTGAAAACCCATCTTGCACGAATTAAAAAGCAAATAGCCAGGCAGAAGACTCATTTTTACTTCTAGATTTCTACCACTTCTGAATTTCAACTGTCTCCCTCACAACAAAGTTCAGTTTTCGATCCAGCGTTTAGTAATACACCGTGACTGATTTAATCAGACATATGCATTTGGCCAAAAGTGATGTAATAAGTGGATGTGTCAAAATTTAGAGCAGCACTGGAAATTTTAGAACTATAAGCACCCATGCCTGAGCGTTTGTTACAGTTCTGAGATGCTTTCCATGAGCGTGGATCTGCATGAAAAGGCAGGCATGGTTTTCAGGATGTGCGAATATTACACTAAAGTTTTAAAATCAGTGCTAATCCTGAATACATAGAAAAGCAGATTTTTTTTTTAAAGATGTGATGTGGCTAAGAGGCATAAGCATCACTGTGTATCTGTATGCTGCTTTGTGAGTCTCCAAGTGCTGACCAGGGTGAGCCTTAGGTACACAGAAGATTGCTAGCGATGTGTGGGATCTGGTGATGACTTCACCAAGTCATTACATGTAAGGGGAGGCACGTTGCATGGGCTGACAGTGGGACAACAAGCTTTGCAGTGAAGCTTTTCCTAAGTTCTGCAGTGTACCTGTTTACATCTCTTATTTAATGCAGCAAATATGGCCCTAACTTAGTTGAGCATATTCTCACTCACTGGAAAAACTCTGGCTGCGCCTTAAGTCTGCTTCCCTCCAAGTAGTCTGTGCCTATGTCAAGCTGTTTAGATTTTTAGACATTCAGGTTACTGAAAGCTTTCGTCTTCTCTCTTTGCATGAAAGAGCAGCTACAAGGATCTGGAGCATTGACTTCGTGAGAGGAGAGTCAGACAGTATTTCTCTGCATTAGTCATTAGTCAGCAAAACTGTGCTTTATGTCCCTTGCAAAACTTAAAATAGAAATAAAAATAAGTGCAGAAAGATTTTCCAGGCCCCTAATTAAGACGTGATCAGGAAATTAAGAGGTAAGACAGTAAATTTTGGGAAGTTGGGGGTTGTGGTTTTTTTTTTTTTGATTGCAACATTTGTCAGTCTTCCAGTGCTGTAAAAATACTTGGATTATTTATTTATTCCTAAATACAAATTGCAAATTCAATTTCCTACCAGAGCTGGATCCATAGTCTGAGTACTAAAACAGCCAGAATGTTCTCTGGGATACTTTTCTTTCAAGTGTTACTCTATTAAAACAATAAAATAACTATGGCTAGACCTCATACAATTTGTATCTTTGGAATGTAATTTTTGTCAAGTGTTTTTCAGCATTAAGTTTCTCAGAGATGTTTAATTATACATATTTTAAGTATTTCCATTTTTTTAAACAACCTGTACCTATATCAAAGTATTTTCAAAGCTTCTTTGTAATTCTTCTTTACCTAGTCTTGAAGATTCACTCCTACATTAAAATAAAAGTCTGGAAGCACTTCCTAAGCTCCTTGACGTTTTCAGTATTCTGACTGCAATACTACTCAGCACAGGAAAAAATGGTCCATTAATTACAGGTTTCAGATAGTTTAGCATCCCAAGTCTTCTACAAAAACAGAAATCTGGCATCTTCATATTAGGATTTTAAAGGGATTTTGATTGTCATTTGATAGTTTCAGCTGAACCTCAGGTGAATTTTTTTTTTTTTTTGAAAGTTTGCTCTTTGGATCTCATGGATGACCCAAATCTATAAATGTGATTTCTTCACTTGGTTTTCTGTTGATGTCTGTGTGTGTAAAACTTTTATCATTTCAGAACTGGGTAATCACTTCATTGAAGGGCTTCTGAAATCTCTTGAGGTGATGTCTCATTATTTAGGAGCTGCTTTTCTGTACCACTGGTGAATAGTTTTTGAGGCCTTCTTGTCTTTCAGCTGTGGCAGTTTTTTGGTTTTTTTTTTTAAACTAACTTGCCTGTCTCTTCAGCCCTTTGCCATAAATGGGCTTCTGTCCCCTGAAAAAAAGAAAAAGATTGAAAGAGACAAAAATAGTTAATAAGAGTTTTCTCTCCAAATGTGGTCATGATTTCCCACCTGCAGAGCAGAGTTCTGTTGCTTTATTTGGGCTGCATCTTCTTGCAGCTGGCTTTTGCTGGCTGTAATCTCTAATTGTGTTAGAGGTTTTCAAAGGAAATGCGAAGTCTGGGTGCCCTGTTCCTGATGGTAGATGACATGCCATAAAGCTTTAAATCTAGAAGAGAAATGAGCAGCTGAGAGTTTATAGAGACAGCTGAAGAGGCATCTCAAGAACTGCTAGAAGATGAAATACAGGAAGATTAATCATCTTGATGTTCTCCTCTGTCTCCAGATGATGTCTCTATCAACCTGTGACACTAGAGCAAGATTACTTTAATATTTGACTATGTAGGTCACAAGAATATTTATGTCTCCATGAAGAGACATGTTTTTCAATGCAGTCCTTTATTTTGCCTTTTATTTCATAATTTCTTGAATATTAAAATAGAGCAAAGTTCTTAGCTATTGTAACTGCCAAGAGGCAGAATTATAGGATCAAATCAAAGAGTGAATTTGAAGAATCCACAGTTTTACATAGGTTGCTCCAAAAGTAATGCCACATATATTTCCACAAACACCACAATGAATACAAAGAACACAATAACACTGTTTGATAGAGCATATTTTCAGCTACATAATGCTATTTTTCAGCATAATCACCACCACTAACTACACATTTTCACCAGCAATGAACAAGAGCCTGCATGCTGCACTCAGAAGTCTGCATGGCTGTCCAGAATATGGCTTCTCTTTCACATTGCTGTTGCCAATATGCACCAACTCACTGTGCTCACATCCACTGTTTGGTCAGCAAGCATCAGTGAATGCCACTGGGTGCAATTTTCTCCACGTGCAAGAATTCAATGACACACTTTTGCTTCATTTGCACTTCCATATCAGGTGCTACTTACTCAGCCTGCCACTCTTCTGCCATCTGTCACGCAGAAGCAAAATGTAAAAGAACGTTGGTGGGAAGGTCTGTAATCAATGAATATATAGATGTTATAATTAAGAAATACACAGAAAAGTTAAGCTTACAGGTTATCACAGTAAAGAAGAATGGATGAAAAGCTCACCCTTAGCTCGCTGGGAAGATCCAAAAGGAGCATCTCCAGAAGAGATCCTTCCCCAGTGGTAGTCAGCTCTTAAATGGGGCCTAGGAGAAGTGGAGCCAGGCTCCATCCCTTACAGTAGCACAGGAGAATTGTCTTCACCTGTGCTCCCAAGGCTGACTCATTGCTCACCTCAGGTTCAGGCTGTGATTCAGCAGTTCCCATACAGAAGGTTCAACCTCTGCTGCCATTATCACAAACATCTGCCTCTGACATCATGGACCAACTTAATAATGTAAGAGGAATTACTTTCAGAGCAGCCCTTCTGTATGAAGCAAATAAAAAACCAAAGCTTTTTAATTGAGGCACATTATTTTAGGCGGCTCTGCTTGTATTTTTCATATCTGTGATTGGTGATATTCTTCTGCCCTTATGAGCCAAGGATTTAGCAACTCAAGTTGACATCTCTTCCCACAGAACTGTATTATTTCACAAAAGGCATTTAATTTTCCAAATAATAAATGGGAGGAAAACATTACTGCCAACTTCAGTCAATGCTTTTTTTCCCATAACTGTTTGGAAGTTATTATCTTTGGCACCTTGAAAACTTAAATCAATTCCTTTTTTTTTTTTTTTTTAACTTTTAAAGTTTTTTTTTATGTTAGTTCTTGTTTTGCAGATAGTTATGGTTGCCAGTGTATGGGGACTGTTACTTACGTGTATTGCAGAATGGTTATCAGGCCCAGATGACCAAAATTATAATTACAGACTTCTGTATTTTGTAATACCTGAAGTTAAAATGCCTAGTTGCTTAATAGCAATAATTTCCCTAATGAGTGTGTTTAGTTCCTCTCAGTGGGAGCATTCACTTTTGCCCCTCTGAAGCTTTTGTCTCTTCCCTACCACTCGTGACTACTCAGAAATGACAGTGGGAGTGCTGGGAGCCTTACAGGTTCAGGGGTCTGTTGTCATCTCCTGGCAGGCCTGCTGGTCACTTAAAACAGGTAAGGCATGAGGCTTGAGACATGGAGAGCAGGTTTGCTAGATATTGGCAAAGATTGTTACTACAGAGCTACTGGTTACTACTTGCTTTAGAATTGGTGCAATAAGAAGATATAGTACAAAGAAATACAGGGCACTAGAATTGCCATGTTGCTAGACCTGAAATAAAAGCAGTAACAGCAAAAACATTTATTTATTTGTCTCTGTAACTTAGGAATACACAAATATAGTTATTCTTGTTCTGTTTTCTGTTCCTGGTTACTGCCTGAAGGAACATACTTTGGTGGTTTTTAGACATTTGCTTCCTCTTTCTGTACTCCCAGGTTCTAATTGACTGGATTAACGATGTGCTGGTGGAGGAGAGAATCATTGTGAAACAGCTTGAAGAGGACCTTTATGATGGGCAGGTACTGCAGAAGCTACTAGGTGAGTTCACACAAGAGAAGGCGGCTCCAGAAAGTGAAAGGAAGCCCCAAATTAAACCCTTTGAAAGATGTGTACTGTAATGAGGCTGTGCAGTAACTCACTGTCTCACTGAGGGTACAGTTTGTTTTACTGATAGCTACAGTGTCAGCTTCTCATCTGTTCTTCTCAGGCACTTTTCCTTTGAAAGGGGAGGATCATTCTTAGGTAGCTCATTTGGGAACAAGTAGTAGTCCAGAGAGCTGAAATGTGGCAGAAAAAAAGGTGAAGAGGAGATCAAGCAGAAGCCACATGGTCCAAACTTTTGTCTTCATAGTTTGTTCCTGAAAGTTTTGGGCTGAGAGGTTTTTTTGAGTTCATAAAGAATTACTTTTAGGAATAGAAAAAAAAAAAAGAATGCTTTACAGCAGGCACATACTCACAATTTGATTTTAATTGCAAATGGTACATAAGGATATATACTTAATTAAGCAGTTCTGATTTTGCAGTCCTTTTGCATCTTTGCAGTGTGTGCTTTTGCAAAAATCAAACCCAAGAAAAGCTGAATGATAATGTAGTGGTTTACCAGGGTGTTTTCAGCAAAGAAACTTGGAACTGCTGGTAGTCATTGTAGATCCCCCCTGTTTCTTGGAGACAAATAAGTAAGTTGAGAGCTGTCTGCCTATGACATGTTTTCAGTAGTTGAAATAGTTTTCAATAGGGTTGAGATGTGGGATATAAGTGTCAGAGTAGAGAAAGAGGATTTAGTGATGCTAATTCTATTGGTGGTAACTGAAGCTACTTACTGAATTTCATATTCCTCAAATAAAATGCATGCAGTGTTTTGGCAAACATAAGCTTTTAAAACTTGTAAACAACAACTTGTGTGCAATATTTGTGTGAATACAAAACTGTTCCCAGTTTGGGATAGGATCTGGTAGCTTATGTCACTGTAAGAGAACTTTCAGCTGACCGTTGCTCTGGTGCCGTACTCCTAAATAAAGGCATTCAGACAAGGGAGCTCAAGTCTTTCACTGTTACTTAAATCTCTCTGTGAGTTGCTTTGCCAATCTTAACACCAGGGTGTGCACCTTCTTACTGCATCTTCTCTGGAAGCTCTTTGAAATAATTGGGGTAAGCTGACACTGCTCCAAGTTCTTTCTGGGGTTTAGGGAAAAATAGTGGAAATGGATTTGCAAATTTGTCTCACAGCTGAAGGTAATAGACAGTGTGTGACATCAGTCTCATGTCAGAGGATAATAAGAGGGCAAAATGGTGCTTTGGATATATACATGCTGGTATTCTGGCAGATGGTAGTTTATTTCATTGGAGCCATTTGTCATTGGGAACTTTAAGAAATCAGTGCTCTCTGTGGAGGCCGTGGTTTCTGCCCTCAGGCCTGCATACATTTAGAAAGTGCTTTGTTGTCCATACATGCATGACCAGTTGGACTTATCCAGGAGGAGAGGAGGGCATGTACATCTTGCAGGCCTGAGACTTTTATTTAGACTGACTTTTCTTTATGTTCTCCCTGTTTGGCCTCTCACTGGAGAGCAAATGCTTCTTCCCTGGCCTGAAGCTCAGCCCCAGTGTGGTGTTGTCTCAGCATGAATTTTTCAGTGGTCTCTTGATTTATTCAGCAAGACTTATTCCTGAAACTTTTCATCTTCATGCCCTCTCAGTGATGCGAGATGCAGCAAAGCTTGTCACGCCTGGCGGTGTGCTCCTGATGCTTGAGGCCTCATGATTAAGACAATCCTCAGTTTTACAGCAAAGTCTTCTTTTCTTTTGCCTACAGGAAAGGCTAACAACAAGTAGGGTTATTAAACTTCAAGTAGCAGTTACCATTCCTTGTCTGTGAGAGGTATTTCAAGAATATCTGTCTTGATGGACAGACAGAAAGATCTGCCTTGATGGGCAGATGAAAGACAACAGCTTGTCAGTGGGGTTACTTTGAAGCTGTTTGAAGTGAGAGATGAGCAAATGATTATCAGAACAATTTAGGTAGGGCTCCTTGCTTGGTTGATTTTTATCAACAAAGTACAAGTAATGCCAATGAGAGAGGCTGTGGTAGTGTAGTGCTTTTGGTGTCAGGGTAAAGGGAAATTAGTTTCTGCTTGCTGATTGGAAGTTCATGTGGGCTGAGAATGGATTGGAGCTATAACTTGTGACCAAAAAAAATGAATCTTGTAGGATAGATTATTTTGTTTAATAAAAGATTTAAGATAATTTAAAATAATGCTTACATGTTTTGGCAGCCAGCTTAAAAAAGGCTCACAGACATCCTGGCTAAGGAACATTTTTTCCATTAAGATTATTCAGATACTGATAACAAATTCTTAGATTGATGGAAATCGTCAAAACGTTGAAAGCATTCATGAATTGATAACCTGCAAATCTCTTCTGTTTGGGTTATTAAAGTAAAGCTGTATTTCTGACATTTAAAAATATATATACAGCTGTGTAAAATGTCCAAAAGAAACACTTTCTTGAACTTGAGACCAGAAATGTTTCCATTTTTGAAATAGTATGTTTTAACAACTTCAGAATGTTTCTCCAGCCCATCCTGTGTTGTGAAAAAGGTTTTGATGAAATATTTTTTTGTTTTAAAGACTGGAATACTTAGTTGTTATATGTTCATCCAGTCCTGACTTGCTAGCGCAGTAAGTTTGACCATTTTTCTTCAGAGTGAGGAGAGAAAAGAGATCAGCAGTTTCCATTGCTATGGTGGATGGAAAACTCTATCCCACCTTCCTCAGCTCTCTTCTTTGAGAGAAGGACGTTCGACTCCTGCCTCTTTGGCAAAGGCCACAGTGCAGAAGAAGAGAAAAGTGGCTTATCTATGATTTTTACAACAAATAATTTTATTATAGAAAAAAAGTTAAAATTTTAGTTATGTCATTTTAGAAAATAATGCAACGTTAGTTCATTTTTGGGAGTAATCAACTGTGACAGTATTATGACAACACGACAATATTGTTCCTGCTTGCTTATTACTTTAAATCACTTCCAGTACATCAGTTTGAATCTATGACTCTCTTGATGGCTTGAAGAGGCACATATTCTTTAGTTTAAATTCAGCTAGCCCGAAATAGAATTAATCAAGGTGAAGAAATGTCCACTCCAGCCTGTCCCTTCTTTGTCCAAACTTAACTTCAACTATCAGAAAAGTCCATTAAACTGATGGAAGTTCCTTGTGTAGGGAAGGCTGTGTTATGCCAAATGTTTTTCAGCAATGAAAGAAAACAGGAGGCACAGTAACCATTACTGCTAACTCGTTCCCTGTCTTAAAGTTACTAAATATTTTGTCACCTGCTTGGTGAGTGTGTTCTGCCAGACCTTACTTGTTTTCTGTCGCAGGGTCTATTGGAACTGACACACTTTGATAAAGGTTTGCTTTCAGTTGCTTTGCTTTCTGAGGAAAATCATTCTGTTGGGAAATTTCTAGCAGAGCCCAGCTCTGATCCCCAATACTCTGCACTTGTTATTCCCACCCAGCTCCTTTATCAATCTGGTATTGCATGTTTCATTTTGTTGTCGCTTTCTTCAAATACAGAAAAATTGGCTGACCGTAAACTCAATGTGGCAGAAGTGACTCAGTCTGAGATTGGTCAGAAACAAAAGTTGCAGACGGTCCTGGAAGCTGTCCATGATTTACTTCGACCCCATGGCTGGACAATCAAGTGGAACGTTGACTGTAAGGACATTTCTATGGTTTCTGTCTCCCCTTCACAGACAAGGATTGTGTGATAATAGGGTATTTATTTGCATGGAAAACATTACCAAATCCAGGTGTGAATTGTAACTGGTACCACCTTCTGTAGACTTTAGAGACAGGCATACATGGCTATGGAATAATTGGAATGCTATTCCTTTAAGCATATGCTTTTATTAGAAAGTTATTTGTTTGCTTCCTGAATTTGAATCCTAGAAATATGAGAAATTCAGCAGTCATTCAATTACTAGAGGGTGATCTAAGCCTTCTGGCCACTACACTGTCCTGTTTAAAGATGTAGTTTCTAAGAGGCCAAGCAGAAAGTGCCCCACGTTCCAGGTTGGCCGTTTATGATCCAAAAGTGAGAATGGAGTTTGAGAAGATGTTTCACTGAGGTAGTGAATGTTGTTTGTCTTTTACAGCCAGGAAAGCATGTATTAACACTCTGAACATCTTTTAAAAGCAGAATTCTCCAGTACAGTGGAAGAAAAGTGATTGATTCTGACTGTTCTTATTTCACTGACTAGAGAGGGAGTTGAAATGATTGGACTCCTAAATTAGTTACGTAACCTAAAGAGAATTGAATCTAGGCTCTGCTGCCTTTGTTAATTTAGGAAAAAGAAGGGAGAAGGAAAAAAGAAAGAAGATAATCTTCACTGTAGACATTTTTCAGTTCTTCCACCTTTCCCCCAGAGATGTTTGTTTAAAATAAGATGCCAGTATTCTTCTGTTTGCTTGCTTTTCCCTGCAGCAATCCATGGCAAGAACTTGATTTCCATTCTTCACCTTCTGGTAGCTTTGGCAATGCATTTCCGGGCTCCCATCCGACTGCCTGAACATGTGTCTGTACAAGTGGTGGTTGTACGGGTGAGTATGAACTTTGACAAAAATTTTATCAGAACAACAATTCTCCATTATTCTGATTTCATGCTGCTGGGCTACAACAATTCTCCATTATTCTGATTTCATGCTGCTGGGCTGCTCCTGTCTGTTGCTTTCATGTCTCATTTAGAAAATTCTTGTCCTAGTTTTTTAGCAAGTCCCAGTCCTGGGGACGCATTTTGTGTGATTAAATATGATTGCAAGAACATCCTCTGTCTAATATGTTTAGGACCACTACCTGAGGAAATAGCCTAAGTTGCATGAGAGGAGGTTTAGATTGGGTGTCAGAAATAATTTCTTCATGAAAAGGGCAGTTAGGCATTGGAACAGGCTGCACGGGGAGGTGGTAGAGTTTCCATCCCTAGGAGTATTTAAAAGATATGTAGATGTGGCACCTAGGGACGTGGTTTAGTGATGGACATGTTAGGCAGTGGTTGAACTTGATCATGTTGAAAATCTTTTCAAACCTGTTTGAGTACATGATTTTCTATTGCAATATGAAGTTAGAAGTGTGATGTGATTTTATATAAAAGAGAGTCGTGTCTGTAACTTTTGGCACTTCAGAAAATGTTTTTTTTGCCATGCATTTTTATAGAGAAACCACTGAAACACAAATAGCACAGGAAAGAGTTTCAACATGTAGAATCTCCTCAGTCTGTGAAGCCTGTTACTGATGTTGTTTTTCCCCAATGACTTATTATTCAGACTTAGATGCATTGTTTTCCTTGGCGCACTAGTGTAGTTTCCATCATTTCTTGCACAGCCTTGTGTTTTTGTTAGCTTTCCTTAGATGTGCAGAATAGATTTCATACGAGGAGCATTGACTTCTTCCCTCCTGCCCTAGATATTGCTGTAGTTACTCCTTTCTCTGCTTGACATCAACAGCTTCCTTTCAGTCTACAACATCTCTACTTTTAGAGCATTTCTACTCTTGCTTTTTATCTTCCCTTCTATTCCAACTGAATTCTCACAGCAGTACAGTTTGCAGCATGTAAACCCAGCTTTCCTGAACAAAGGTTGCAAAACCAGGCAGATCTGTTGCATCTGGCCATCCTCTGATCATGCCATGACTGTTTGCTGTGGTGCTCAGAGCTGTTGTTGCAAGGCAGGCTCAGCTGCTGGTAACAGGCTGTGGAAGTGCCTTCTGTACATGCCACTTCAAGAAGACAAAGTGATTTTGTACTTTGCTTTGCAAGTGTTGATACCATTACAAGATGCAGTTGCATCATTGTTGATTAGGCAAGACTCATTTTGCTTTATGTTTAAATAATAGCATTTTTCAGGCTCCATACCTGAATGCTCTAAAGGTACAGAGTAAGTGGGTAATTGATAGATACTCCCTACCTCACAATAAATGTATACATTCTTTTTGAGACAGTTTTGAATTCCTTTCAGATTGCTGTAGTTCTTTCATTTTAGGAACAGTGAATTAGGTATGAAGTAACGTGAATGTAAATAGAAGACTAATTTATATTTTAATTTCTCTTGACTACTTTAGAAAGGAAAGGGAAAAAAAAACATACGGTGGTCAGCAGTCCTCTGACACGCTCATGCTAGAAATCTCCTTCTGTCTTTTATAACTGTGATGTGTCAGAACAAAACCTTGGGGTAACGAGGGAAAGCTTGCTTTTCCTAGTCTGTTCACAGCTTTAGTGGATAGAAGTCTTTGAAGAAATTTTTCACGCATTCTCTTCTGCTGGAGTTACAGAGAGGACACATACAGAGAGGATCTGATTTACCAGTGTCCCCGAATCTGGAGATTAAACAGGGCTGAGATGAAGGCTGACCAGAAGTAGGAAAACGAAGGAAGGAAGAGGAAAGCAAGAGAAACGTAAACGAGGAACTCCCATGCCATGTACAAGGAGGGTTTATTTAAGCTTGAGAAGTTGTAAACTCCTGCTCTTGGACCTAGAGTCTAGGTCCTGGAAATGGTTATGGCAACTGCTGGCTGTGAGCCTGTCCCAGCTGGGCCTGTGCAAGAGGAGGCTTGTTTTGTTGCTTGTCTCATTCAGCTTTATTTATTCAAGTGGAATGCAAGACAAGGTATGAACTGAAGTGTGTTTCTTTTGCAGTGTTCCTGCAGAAGGAATTACTTCTGCCTTATAGTTTGGAAAAATAAATTTTTGTAGTTCAGCATTTCTAATCTGGTCTAAAAATACATGCTCTTTTAGTAACATAAATCTCTTTAGATGGATTGTATTTAACCTTTTTTACATTGACAAAAATAAAAATGGTTATAAGGTTAGCACTATTCTCAATCTAAATAAGAAAACTATTACAATTATCAATTTTATTGTTAAATCATTTCTTATTACAGATCCTAATAATTGTTAGAATTCTTTCAAACTAGGTCGTAGTTAATGTAAGATTATTATCTGAATATACATTTAAGGAGATTAATCAATAGTTTGTAAAGTGTAGAGTAACTAAGCTTTATGGAATTGATCCCAGAGCAAGATAACCTTGGAAGATGTGGGAGAAGTGTGCAAGAACACACCAATACTGAAGTTTTCCAAAGTAGTTAAGTCTCACTTTCATGGGTGACTTTGGCACTTTGAATTAAACTTCTCAATTTCTGTGTTTACATGGTGAAAATAACTGTCATGCTGGCTTAGAATGTTGCTACTTAATGAATTTGTATGCATTTTTTAGCCAACCCAAGAATGGTACAGAATATTTTTTATCTTATGTAAGTGTTGTGGGCTCTCTTCTCTAATTTTTCCTCTGATTTTTAGTGACCTTATCCATAAAATGAAGTAGTATTATGATAACACCATGCTGCATGGGAAGTGTTTATCAAGATCTACACAGACCAGCAATGATTTGGCATTCTTTTGAATTCTGCCCTTCTTTTGGAGTCCTAAGGTGGCAGACTGAGACCTTCCTCAGTTGCTGTTCTGAGAAGAATCTGTACTTGGATCAGTATCTTCACACAACATACTGAGGTCTTTTGGTCCTTCAGTGTGTATTTTGCTCAGAAAATCTACAGTTGCTTTTGAGAGGGCTTTCTGCTTTAATTTCCCTGTCCGGAAGAACCCTTATCTATGTTCCTGTCTGCCTAACCCAGCAGAAAAACACTTTTGCTTATACTGTTTTATAATGGGCACCATGAGGTGCCTCTAAGGAGTGGAACTCCTGAAATCTAGTTAATTTCAAACCTGTTTTGAAATCAACACCCAAAATTGATTTTTTTTAGATCTTCCTTTCTTCCAAATAAAACAGAAAATGTGAGCATGGCAACACAAATCCAAATTGTATATGAAGTGTCTGAAATCCAAATTATATATGAAGTGTCCTAGCAGAGCAAGGGTTTAGGTGAGTCTTTTAGTTAAGATTCTGTTGACAGCTCCTTGAAGTGCTGAGTTAAGAGTCTAAGATTGTACTTGTTTTAATAATGGTGTCAGTGTTTCCCTTTTGTTCCAGCCCTTCTTAATGAGGGCAAGGAGGGTTGAAACTCCATGGTTTCATTATGAAGCTCCAGTGAGAATTGGAAATCCTGAGATTTTTCTTGCATCTGTCTCCTGATATTTGAAACGTGAGCTTGCATGATGAAGAAATACTGTAATTCAGGAAAACAAAAATGTCTCAGAAGTGAGTGTGAAAATTGTTTGTAAGGCTCCCTGCCCCTTGGTTATTTTTGCAAGGCTCAGTAATTGCTGTCCTTTGCACTCAGCTTTCCTATTCCTCATTTTTAAAATTGCTGCATATCCCACCTTGGTGCTGGTGGGAGATTTGAGGTATTTTTACAGTAATTCCTCTGTAGCCTGAGTTGCAGAAAGGTCAGAGGCAAGGCAGCATGAAGAAGACGTGTCTGGTGGCAATTGTGCAAGCAGTCTAGTTTTATCGATGGATGATATTTGTTTTGGAATGCAAGGCCAAGGGACCTTGTGTGTGTGCTCAGCTGCCTCTGAAAGGGCTGCTTGGAAGTACTGCCATTTCCACCCACTGGGAAATCAGCGTGGGTATCCAGCCCTCTGTCTCATCAGCAGTTTGGAGACATTATTCACTAGTCACCTCTTATTGAGGCTTTGTTCACAGGGCACACAGTGACCAAAAGATCCAGAAACTGATGTGAGTAAAGCAGGGTCTCTGTGGGATGGAATAAAGATAACATTGTTTCATACACATGAAAACACTGCCCTGTCAGATGCTTCCTCATTTTTCCACCCATGCTGTCTTTCCCTAACCTTTGGCACCATTCCTGTGGCTTCGTGGGGGGAGCAGGGTTAGATATATTTGTGATACAGAGGTAAGGTGTTGGGAAGACATGGCCAGAGGGCTGAATCCAGCTTTGGGCCAGGCTCAGTAGGGAGCTGCTGCAGCACAAGGGTGGGAGACAGTGGCTCCCACTCTGCTCTCACAAGGCTCCCTGGGTGGCTTGGGAAAGCAGCACTGCCCTCATTTGTTGAATAGGGAGTGGAAAGGAGCGACTTCTTGTTACTGATTTTTTTTTTTTTTTTTATTGCAATTCTTATTTTAGATTGCTTCTGGGGAAGGATGTGCTTCTCTTCAAAGCTGTTCTGCCTAATAAGTTCTTGTTTGGGGTTCAGCTGGTGAAAATGATTGTGTATGTGCAAAGAGCTTGTGCCTGAGGGTGGCAGTTTCCCTGCTTACCAGAGCTAGCAGCTTTCATTATTAACTGTGTCTTCAGTCATTCTGACAGGACCTGGTTCCTAGATGACTGCTGATATTTGAGCTCCTGATGTCAGCTTTTTTAATGTAGAGGAAGGAGGGAAGAAAATAAAGCTGTGTGCTGTAATGTTATAAGAGACCATAGACTCAGTGAAAAGAGATGCTGAGAAGTTTTTCTGAATCAGATAAAAACAGTTCCGGCCTCAGAAAGGCATCTGCCAAAACTCTACACTGCTGGTACCTCTGTATTGAAGTGCTGTGTCTTAACAGCGCTGAGGAAACTGGATTGAAATTGTCTTAGCAAATACTAGCTCTCTGTTGGATTAAAGAGTTCTTGCTCATACAGAAAAATATTGTAAGGAAACAAAATCCAGTAACAGGGAGATGCTGTCTGTTGTGAAATCACTACTAAGGTCTTTTATGTTCTCTACATTTCTGTGGTGATTGCTGGCACGAGTGTGACTGGTGGCTTTAGTAATGTGTCTGCTCTCAAAGAGCCTCCCTTGTGCACTGAGGGCTTTGCCAGCACAACTGGCCAGGGGATGGCAGTCTGTTCTTCAGCACTAGACCTCTCCTGATAGCCATGCTGCCAGTAGTATCAAAGTGTTGGTTGACCCTGACCAAAATAAATAACCCTGGGGCATTTAAGATGAGGCTGACAAACTCTCAAACGTGCGTTCCAGGCACAGTGTCAACTGTAGTCTCAGGCAGAGAATTGTTAGTGAGTTTATTGGCTGCAAATATATATACATTTCCCAAATACTCATTTGACTGTCAGCTTGATAAATGCTACTGTTGTAGGAGTGAGCCCTTTTGTGTCAGCTGTTTCACCTCTACCCGTACAAAACTTTGCCTTAGCAAACATGGTTTACTCAGTTTTCTCCTCTGGGATTCTGAAGGATGATGAATGTTGTTGAGACTCTAATGAGCTTCTCCTGTATTAATGCTGTCTCTGTTTCTAACTCCCCCTTCACTTCCAGAAACGCGAAGGCCTTCTTCAGACAACTCATGTTACAGAGGAGCTGACAACTACAACAGAGTAAGCACAGAACGCTTTAGTTTGTGTCTGTGAAACTTCATAGGGACAAAACAGAAAAATAATCTTGTCCTCATCCCTGCTAAATTAAGAAAAACCTTAATGCGTAGCTTTTTAACTATATAAAAACAACTGTTCCTGGAAATACGTTACAAAGGAGAACAGAGTCTTCTTGACAATCTTGTATCAAAAAAGCTTTTATCTGGGTACCTCATTAAAGTGACACTTGGAGCTTTTCTTCCTCCTTCTGCAGGTCACTGTACATAACTCATTTCTGTCTGGAGATGTTGTCTCTCTTAAGTATAGGACCAGTGCAGATATTTTGGGGGTAGATTACTTTGATGAAAGACAATAACTCATAACTGAAGTTATACTGATAAAGTTGTAAGAAGAGATGAGATCTCTTATTTTCCTAGAGTACCTGAGGGCTAGAGCTCCATAAAAGTAAATGAACGTCTTTACTCTCAGTTTTTGCAATGGGTTTACTCTGCTTTCTGTTTTTACATTGCTTTTTATAAGGAAAAGGGAAGACATGCATTTTGGCTGCAAATAAAAGCTGAGGTTCTCCTTCATGTGGCCTGAAGTCAACTTTTCTAACAGGGGTTACACGAGCCCTCCTTCAGACTTTCTGCGTATTGGCTCCCTGTGGAGTTGGCTCAGCTTTCCATGACTTTGAAGATAAATGAAGTACCATGTGGCTTGCTCAGTGGGGAGGATATTTCAGATGGAAACGTTCAAAAATGAGATCATAACATCTCTGTGTGGATGTTAAAGATCCATAGTGTTCTTTGTAGGATCTGAGCTCTGTTTCTGTGTTGTGGACCAAAATTCCTCCTATACTCTTGAACAGTGTAGTTAGCTTGTCCTCTCCTTCTGATGTGGTTTGTAAGATGGAATCTGTGTAGTAGGGTTTGGACGTTTTTTTAGCAAGAAAGATGTTTACATTTACTTCTGTGTGTTTATGCATGTGTTTTGCTAAGCTACTTAATGATATATAAAAAGAGGTTACTGTTTAATGTGTTGCATACCTGGACAGGTACCGAAAATGCAATAATCAGCAGACTCCAGCATTAATTGAACACTCTCAAATTCCTCTGTGCAAATCAGGGCCTGATGCTCAGTTGATAAACATCTGTGAGGTGATGTCACTGGGCTGTGTATATAATTGATGCATGGCAGTATTGTTTACTTTCCAATCAAATATGGTGTATGTTTTCTTTCTTCAGATAAAATTGATTTAAGTGAGCCTTACTCTTTCTGAGCCATGCGTTACAGTTTGTACTGACTATATATATGAAAACTGTCCACAGAAACGTGTGTTCATTCACTCTTCATCATAAAAACAGCGATGCATAAAAAAAACCACAGTTCTGTATAAAACATAATTTAAATTCATTTCAAATGTATCTCCCTGATATCACTGGTGATCTACCAGGGACACTGCAGCACGTTGCATCAGGTCTGCAACATGCCCAGCCTCCTGACATGATAGGAGCGGTTAGCCCTCGGCATCTTGCAGGAAAAGACCTGTTAAGTCCGTGGTCTTGTCTTTTCAAAGTGATTATTCATGAACTAACACAATTTTTTTAAATTTCTCTGACTTGCAGGATGATGATGGGAAGATTTGGTAAGTAACGAAGTTGACCCTGAATTTTTTTGTTTTTTTGTTTATATCCAGCACAGAAATCTTGTCTGCATTTTCTCATTAGTTCAAGATGCTGGATTGAGCAATGCTACAAGGTTGTAGTGTGTTGTGGGATTAGATTTTCTTACCCTACACATAATGGGTAAAATCAGATCATCTAGTGCACTGCCTTTGTTTTTTAGACTAATCCTTGTTAGTCTGTTTTCACTCTTATGTAATAAATAGTAAAAATGCCACACAGGGCAGTATTTCTTACTACCATTATTAGTGTCCTGCAAACAAAAATCTTAGCAGCCCCCACCAGTAAGTTACGCCTTCTTCAGAGTGTGACTGCTTAGTTTAAATATAAATGGACACATGGAAATTAATGAAGCAAAGGTACCTGGTATGAGTGCAAGGAAAGCTGTGTTTATCGGTCCAGGTACAGGCAGTGTCCTAATCCCTTTACATACAGTACTTTCCTCCATGTTCATCAGATTTGACAGACTTTACCAACCACAAGATCAGGTCTTCTAAACAAAATTTAAGTGTTCTAGTGATGCTTCCCAGAGGCTTCTCTTTCTTTTTACATATAGTTTAGTTAGCAGCACCTACATCGTTTACTATTCACTGGAGAGGTGTGAATTTCTCTGAGGAACTGTGTGGTAATGGACAAGTCATTTAGTTTCTCAGTTTCCCAGTCGTAATACATGAACAGTTCTGTTTCCTCTATTGTAGAATACCTGCACTAGTAAGGAACTGTACTGTAATTGTAA